AAGGTATAAATATAAAGTTGATACGAAAGATGATTGGGATCATAAAAATGATAGCTTTTAAATGCGAATTTCAGCGTCATATGTTGTTAGCTATTAACAAATGCTTCATTCCATATTATCTGTACAACTTATCAGTTACTTTTATCATTTAAATTACACATTTGATTTCTTTTTAAGTTCAGTATTTGTTTGCTAATAATTATTTTTATAAATATTTTGCAAACAATGTATGTTTCTTATCTTCAACTGCATTTTTTTTTTGTTTGTTATTATTTCATTGTCATAATAATATTGGACATTGATTGAAATTCAAATGTCAGCTTCCTCACTGATAAACATTTGTGATGTTAGATTATTTCATTTCGTATTCATTTCATTCCAATTTCACTGACAACTTTTCATTTTCTATTTGAAATTATTTTGTCTTATGAAATTAGAATGTTTAAATCTATTTGAAAAAGAAATAAGTTAAGAAATTAGTGAGTGAGAAAAATACAAAATGTATGATAACTGATCAAATGTATACACATTCATTTATTGGTTTTAATAAATGAATGAATAAACATGAAATGTGATAAAGTGATCAAATTAAAAAAACATTTAACCTGATTAGTTTCTGTCTTTTTACTTCCAATTTTTTTTTTCCTGCTATTATCAATTTAATCATAATTGTAGATGTGTATGCGTAATATTTGTAATGAATATCTTATAATCCTTTTTTTTTTTTTCCAAATTTTAAAAAATCTTATGAAAATTCATTTATACTATTTACTGTATAAACTATAACAATATCAAATATGTTTAATTTTGTTGGAAAAATTTCAGTTTACATTTGTAAATTACTATATTCTAATTTGAATATTCAATGTTAAAAGCACAGAGATGATGAAAATCGTCATTTGTTGTGTACACTTTTGAACTTGTTTATCACCTGAACTAAGTCATTCATTTTTGCAGCAACTGCCCAAAACTACGTAATATTGTTGTGTCCAAAATTTCAATCCATTATTTACGAGCAATAGAACTGGAAGAGGAAAGGATTAAGAAATTAGGAATTGGCGAAGAGAGGGAGAGAAAGAGAGAGAGAGAGAGAGAGAGATGATTATAGTGGTTTAGCTAAGTACTTCTCTACTACTACTTTTTTTTTTTTTCCATTTTTCATCTTCATTTTAAATTTCTATCATTTTTTTTTTTTTCTTTTCGTTTTGTATATATGTTCATGAAGTGTTGTGGTAGACAAATCTGATAACAATGTTTCTCAAATTACATTAATATCCTTTATATAATATAATTAATTGACTTAAAAAAAAAATGATTTCAAACTTGATTTCAAGCAAAAATTATGTTTTTTTGAATTAGTTATTTTGATAAAATTTCGTTTTTTTCTGTGTAATTATTCTAAAATTTGGTAAAAATGAGGAATGAAAGAAATAATTACATATATTTGTTATTTTTTGGTAATTGAAATTTTTTCTTTTTTTTGTTTTGCAAAAGAAAATTTTATTTTCCATATTTTTTTCTTTCAACTTTAGTATTATTATATATTTTTAGGACTGATTCACTCTTGAAAATTTAAATTTGCAACAAAAATCGTAAGTGAGGTTGAAAATTTGAGTGATATGCTTAGATAATGTTTATGCTTTCAAGAATGACAACGGAACATTTCAATTTAACATTGATTACTGTCAGAGAGCGGAAGCTAGTTTTATCTTTCTTATCATTAGATGATGTTGATTAAGTGATAAAATGAAACCTGATAAATTTAATAAAATATTTCGCCCTTTCTTTCTTTTTTTTTTCACCTGTATGTATTTTTTCCTTAAATAGTTTACAATAAAAAAAATTTTTTGTTATGATATTTAAACTGATGGGGTCACACGATCGACGACCTTTAGCATTCCTCATCTGCTTATAATTGACTTTTCACATGATAAATATAAAATTTCAGTGAGAAGTTAGGAGAAATTTTGTCGATGTTATTTGTAATTTTTTCTGGCAAAGTACAAAGATTAAAAGTCGTTCTATACTTTGAAATATTTATTAATTTTTCAGTTCATCATTAAATCATATTTAAGTTTTAATCGTGAACAGTTTTTACTGGGATGATTATTGAAGGATAATTTCGAGAATTGATCATTTTATGAACAGTGTATTAAAAAATTATTAAATTGTTCCAATAAAATACCTCTCATGTCTCTTTTTTTTTAATTTTATGTCTGCTTAATGGTCAAATTCGCAGTATCATGATATTTGCTTAGATTACATGCATGCTGTGCAAGCTATGCGCCATTTTGTCGTGCCCTGCCATACTTGCTTTTCCTTTCCTTTTTTTTCCTGTTTTCTAAAATTTATAATTTCAAATAAATCATTTCGATAATGATTTTTGTTTACGCGCAATTTGTTCCACTGCATTTTTTTTGTCAATCTTTCTTTCTAGAAATTGGTATTGAAATAACTTTTTTATTTTATATCCATTACTTTACTTATATTTATTTTACTGTATGATCAAATAAGTAATATAACACTGTCATACTTCAATTTATTTGAATATTGCATGCGGAAGTTAGAATGCAGTTTTCTCTCATATCGTTAATATATTCACAGTCACTAAAATGCTATTAGTCATAAGCTGTAAATGTTGGAAATAAAATATGATCAATATGTGATAACTAATGACAAAATTTGAAGCTGGAATGATAAATGTTCTAATATTATCACTGTAATATTTCTTTGTGTGTAAATGTTTGTTTTCTTTTTCGGTTTAGTTTTCCTAATCATTTGAAGTTAGAAAAAAGCGATCAAAAAAGATACCTTATAAGCGCATATTTTATAAATGAATTAAAAGTATTCATAAAATAAAAGGTAATACCTAATCGTAGTTTAAAAAAAAAAACCTTTATAAAAATTATTTCAGGATACAAGAGTTGCAACGAATTAAATTCTGGCAAATTTTGAGTTAAAGAAATAATCTTAGTAAATTCAAACAAATTGCACAAATTTTACATTTAACTAATAGTTAAATGTAAAATTTGTTTAATCGATGTTCTTTCCAGTTATTTATATCTATATGATCAATATGATGCCACTGATAACATTTATGAAGTGGAATTTATCAACTATTTGTCAACTATTGAAGTGACCAACAACTGACTTATTGATTGATTATTGATATTACTGAATGAAGTGTTTTTTTTTTTTTTTTTTTTTTTTTTTTTTAAAGATAACTTGAATATTTATTAAAGTATTACCATACATTTGAAAAATAGTTGCAGTTCGATTATAGCCAAGTCTGGCTTGTACATCCTGATTAATTGCTGTTTAGTTCAAATCTGTTATCTTAATTCTGAAATTATCTTAATCTCAACACATTTTGCATGGACTGAACAGTCATTCGTTTGCTTCCTGTTGAATATCATTTCATAAGATTATTAAATTGTGATTTGTCGAGAAAATTGAATTTTAGTTTTCTTTCTTTTTCTTTTTAATTACATCTCGTTACAGTAAATAGATATGTTTTTAAGTATAAGATGTTACTTAACGATATATTTTTTTACTGAATGTAAATAATGTTATCTACAGGTAGTTCATCCTATTTGCAAAACCATTGTCACCACAGTTTGATTTATTCTGTGAATTCCAAACAACTTGACATTCTAATCCATCACTTTCATTTTTTCTTATTTTTCAATATCCTGTTTTACAAACACCATTCGTTATTTTCTGATTCAGTTTGACATTTCTTATCTTTTTACTTTGTAGATATGACTCAAAATTAGAGATATCTCGACAAGATTTAAGTTTATCCAGATATCAGCTATATGAAATAACATAAAATTATAGGGATAGCAAGAATCTGTCAATGACCAACTTATAGTATTAGTAATTTGAAATATTCGATAATGTATCTCGAAACGATGCAACAATCAAAAATTGTTATTCGAGATAGAATAGAATGATTTATACGATAAAGATGAACCAAATAGTAAGGCCATTTTGAGCATATTATGACGAATTCCCTTGAGTGCCCTTCTCAATTTGTAAAATATTAGTGTCAAACTACGATAGGATACACTCATCTACTACTACATATTTAGTAGTGTTAGGAATAGGGAGAGGGGGGGGGGGGTTGATGTTAATCAATATTTTAATTATCAATAAATAATTTCTCATATCTTTACGAAACATATCTAAAATGTAAGAAATATTTTATCATCTAATTCCTATACTTAAAGCTGTAAACAGAATATCACCAATCAAGTAAACATCACAGAAAGAATCTTATAATAATATAATGGTACTCAGTCATAGATTTTCGCTATTATATAAGGAATTTTATTACAGATTCTGAAAAATTCCCAAATTTTTCTAGTGTTAATTCATTTACAATTAGTATTTTCAATGCATCGAAACGTGTAACTATTTCATACTGATAGTATGATTATCTGTTAATGAATCAATGAATGTAGTTGCTCCTCTGTGATAAATTTATCACAGTCATAATCGAAAACTAAATATCCGGACAAGCAAATGAAATCCGGAATAGTTCTTTGGCTGCAAATAAATTATTATTCCCATAGAAATCAATAGAATTTGAAAAAGTTGTAATCATAAATTGATGGTTGATGAGATTATTAAAATAGCATAATATTTTAAAGCATTTCAGTAGTTATTAAAAACGAAAAAAAAGACAGCATAGTAATTGAGGAGTTGATAGAGAATGATTGGATGTGCGAAGTGGTTTAGGTTTGGTCAATTATCACTTGGGTTTGGGATACACTTTGCTAAGACTTTTTATAGATCATGGGTTGGAAGGATGTGCTTCGTGCTTCTTCTATAATTTCTAGTTTGTGGGGTTGGAAATTAGTAATTTAAATTTAACTAATTTAGCGTTAAATTTATGACTTTTGTGTTTGTAGTTGTATTTTTCATTGTCGATTGCGTGTTGGAATTCACTTTAATTTTTTTTCCGGTTTTCTTTTTTCCATCGTTTTTCAGGCATTATGCCTAGCAAGACAGATGGTGCATCAAATGGAACGGCTGAACGTTCGTTTGTCAACTTTGATCCGGAAGATCCGGAATATATCAAAGAATTGCAAAGGCCAGCAGCCATTAAGGTTTGCCTTTTTTCGTAACATTAATAATTTAATGGGATGACTTACCGTTTATTTAAAATTAGCAGCATTTTAATAGTCGAATTTGTTGTGTGTCCTTAATAGAACTTAAATTTGATGAAGCTGGTGAATTATGCCTATTTCTGTTGTTTCTGTGATGGTATATTTATAGTGTATTTTCATCTCTTTGGGAGCTTATAGTAGGTTAGCACTGTTTGCTTAAGCAATATTACTTACTTGCTTAAGCAATATGGAAATTGCTTGCAGGAAGATTTATCCGAGATGGAAAGGCGAAAACGGGTGCAGGAAGTGTTGGAGTCGAAAAGTTTTTGCAGAGAATTAGAGGAATTAATCAAGCAGGAAAGTGAAAGCCACAAAAGTGATCCGGATCACTTAAAAACTTTGCAGCGACTTTCTGAACTTACTCTTCCTCATGGCCAAATTGCAACATCCAGTCTTCATAACATTGGTAAGTCCCTGATATCATAATCTTTTTCGTTGTAGTAAACGAAAAGAATGTTATAAAAAGAGCGGCACTCTGTTCGTGACAGGATTATGAAGCTTGTATTATTAAGACCTAATTCTATGGCAATGATGGAATTTTTCTTCTGTTGCATTTCATTTTCATAGCATCCATATTGTTTCATTATATAAAATGATCATTTTCTAAGGAGTTGGAGCTGTGTTACCTATTGCCGATCTCAAAGGAAGTGGTAGTTACACGCGGGCTGAAAAAATGTTCAGGAACAAATTAGCTTCACTGTATCGCCTAGTGGATCTTTTCCAATGGTCGCAGGGAATTTACAACCATATCACGGTAAGGATCATTGTTTTTGTTCTTTTTGGTACTTAAGACACAACTTAAGCATACTAGAGATGGTGTTTGTGTGTTTGGGTTTTGTGAAATTCCAACATATATTCATAAATGATTTAACCTTTGTAGAATAGTTCTCAGATTATATTGAGTACCTTACCCATTATTGTTTTTACCAAAGTTTACTTTTTAATACCTAATAACGTGCACTGTATAACGGCATATTGGAAATATGCATCGAAAGACATTGGCATTACACTAATGTTTTTATGAATATTTCCCACGGTTTTCAGTTAAAATTACCAGATTCAGACGAGCTACTGATTAACCCCTTCGGATTGTTATACCATGAAATTACGGCCAGTTCGCTGATAAAAATCAATCTTAATGGTGAAATCATTGATCGTGGTTCCACTAAATTAGGAATTAATCAAGTAAATATCCTCATAATTGTCTTTATTCTTTTTTCACTGTTACAATTTCAGTTATTAGTCATTTTATTGGGACTTATTGAGACTGACAAGTAACTAATTTTTGTCAGGCAGGTTATGTTTTGCATGCAGCAATTCACAAAGCACGTCCTGACGTGAGATGCGTGTTGCACATGCATACTGCTGTTGTATCTGCAATTTCATCAATGAAATGTGGTCTTCTGCCACTCTCTCAGGAAGCAATGATCATTGGTCCTGTAGGCTATCATGACTATCAGGTATGCTTTTGTTTTATATTTGTTCTGGATAAATTCGAATGAGAATTTATTTCTACTTAAAAATTTTTGGGAAAGAAACAACCGTATATATGTCTATTTTATAACTGCTGCTTAGAGCTTATTTTCCAAAAATAATAGGATTTCAGGGTATATTGGATGATGAATCCGAAATGGAGTCAATCGTCAAAGATCTCGGCGATAAAAATGTGAGTTCTGCAAAATTATGTTATTTTTGCTTCTGGTGAAACAGGAATAAATGCGAAATATTGGTTTAAAATCGTTCAGTCTTTGGGGCATCATTACGGATACTATGAAAACCCTCTCAAGCCGAATACAACCCTCCGAGACCTTCTGCTTTAAGCAAGTCTTTTTCACTTAAGTCTCAGTTTGCAAAAATTACGCAGATGGAAACGAATCGTTAATTACTTTGCTGGATGTTAACCATGCGTGACAGCGTGTGAAGTTTGATTTTTTGTCTTTTTGTCATCGAGTCACTCAAATATGTTAATAGTAAAAGATAATCATTACTATCTCATTACATTTGGGTTATAGATTTATATGAGTTTAAATTAAATCGAATGAAATTTTAAATCAAGCCTCTTATACCCAAGATAGTTTTATAGCTTTAATGCATCTTGTGCATTTTTCTTTTTTTGGAGAGTTATTTAAATGGTAGTTTTCTCTGTTTTTTTAGTCCGAATGAAATGCTTGCTTATTTATGTATAAAATGTTTGGTGAGAAGTTTTAGGTGATGTTATTACGAAGTCATGGATTTGTAGCATGTGGTGAATCTGTTGAGGATGCCCTACATCTTGCTTTCAATACGGTTATCGCATGCGAAACTCAGGCATGCCTGGCTTTTTTTTTTACGAGAGTGCCATTGGTGGTGTAGTCATTTGAAGCACTAATTCATTTTTTTAGAACGAAATTTTTTATTGCTTTGATAATTATTCCATAATTCCCAGAGTTTTTCATTCTAAAATTGGCATACAGAAATAAATCTTGAAACAGATTTTTTTTTTTCAGAATTCGTAATACCAATAACTTCTGTCTATACATATAGTGAAGTGTGTTTGCAGACCACATGGGAAAGCTTATGAACGAGCTAGTCTTAAAAACATTGAGTATAAACATCAAAATGCATGCCATGTTTGCGTGCTGTGGTTCTTTGCTGTGCTTATTGTATTTTATCACTGTTTTGTCATAATTGCTGCGTTTTGCCTTTAATTGAATTTTGAGGAATTTACTAGCTGTTGGGCGAGATATGGAAATTTTTCTTTTGACAATTGGCGACTTCAATGTTATACGGTTTTTATCACTTTATTGTTGTTTGATGCGAGGGATTTTCCAGTACTTTTTTTAAAAAAGTATTACTGCTTGGTATTGTTGCATTCGTCAGTAACAGCTGCATATTAAGATATTTTGTCAATTTGATAGTGCATGTCTTTTTGTATTGGCAGTACTTTTGGATTATATGTTTTAAACTTGGGTATAAGTCTGTATTTTTCATTGTTTATAATGCATCATTATTACTTTTGATTTAGATAGGAATTCATTTTTGCTCGTCTTATTTAATCTTATAAAGTTAGAATGATATATAAGCGTATTGTATGTATATGTGGGAATATTCATGCTTACAGAATCAGTTAAATTTGTTATGTCATTAATTATGAGTTTTTCAATCATCGAGATTTCAAAAATTCGTGCTGTGCGGATTCCGCAGTGATGTACTTCAGGTTTTCATACTACGTACGAATGGGTATTTGGTGTGTTGCGAAACGGTGGAAGAAGCAGTATATGTAATAAGAAACTTGGTTACAGCTTGCGATCATCAGGTCCAAACAATTTCTTATCAGATGGTTAGGGTGATAAATCGTCATATCAGTAGATAGGGGGCTGATGTTGAGTTTTTGAAATATCTGAAATTCTTGATTGTTTGTGAGATTTTATGATTGTTGTTTTTATTGTCTTGCTGAGATTCCCAAATTTAATTAAGATTTGCGTAAATTTAATTTGAGTTCACTGCTTTTGCTAGTAAACATTGTATGACACCTTACTTCCAGCATCTAGTTACAATATTTCTGTGTTTATTTCATTGTTTCTTCACTTTTTTTTTTTTCAATTTGTTTAGCTATTTAGCTTTGATGTTTATTTATTTATTTCTAAATCCTATGTGGTTTGCTTACACGGTTTGCTTACACTAGGGCTAATTATTTTTGATGTAAGAAATTTTATGATTTGTCGAAATTCCATTTTAGATCAGAGCTGCAAGGGCTGGCATCGAAAACCTCGTTATACCTAATGAAAAAGCTGTTGAAAGAGTATACAAAACAGCACGAAAAGGCGGTAATTTATTTTTATGTACTTTGTTCTTCGATTCCTTAAATTTAATGTCAAGAAGCTTACACAGTTATGTTCAGGAGGTGGTGTCGATCGCAATGGTGCGAAAGATGCGGAGGGGAAGCAAATTAATTGGAGGATCGGTGAGTTGGAGTGGGAAGCATGGATGCGTGTACTTGATAATGCGGTAAGTATTTTCTGCTATGTTAGAGTTATGGTGGGAGAAATTTTCATGTTTTCGTTATCGTTGTCATAACCCAAAAGCTTTTAGAGACTTTGAAAGCATTTCTTTTATTCACACTACTGCTCTCAGGGCTACCGAACGGGTCATATTTATCGACAACCTCTTTTCCGATCGAGAGCACTTCCTTCATCAACAAATAATCAAAATGATGTTGCTGTTCCACCTAGTGCCTCGTCAATTGGCACCGTAAGATGGAATCCTTTTTTAAATTATTTTAACTTACTTATAGTTTTCATATAAAATTTTCCCAGATGCTCTCCATTTATTTTACAGCGGTTGTTTTGATTGATGTCATACTTGTTCATATTTCTCTTTGCCGGTTTATTGATGTATAATTTGACTCGTACATAGCCTTAATTTTTTTTTCGATGGTCGAAATAATTATTACATACTCCTTTACTTTTATAGCCTAGACTCCATAATGATTTTTTTGAAATTGTCTCATTGAAATGTGTTCTGTTGAGGTGGATGAAACTGATTATGAGTCAGTGACAGCGCATAAGATGGCGCTGTTGCGCAAGGAACAGGAACGGTCTCGGTGGCTCAATTCACCGAATGCATATCAGAAAATCGAAATCTTGGAAACAGGGACCAATAATCCGAAACGGATTACGAAGGTATTATTTTTCGATTTTTTTTTTTTTTTTTTTTGAATTTCTTTTTCTGTTGCCTGTACTTGTTTCTGGATTCGGTTCGAATAAATGGCTCAAACTATTTGGTTATTGTGGCTAAACTTTGATGTGGTACTGAATTATTTATGCAGAAAACCGTTACTTGGTGCAACATCCTTCTTAATTTTTCTCTTTCTTTATTTGGCATATTTTCATGTTTTACATTTCAATTAAATTAAAAAAAAGTTCGAAATAAACTTCCTTTCAGTGGGTGCAGGATGTTAGTTCACCATCTCAAAGTGGAACCCCAGTGAAAATTTCTTCGCCACACCAATTCAGTCCTTTCTCTTCAAATCCAAAGGAATTTAAAGAAAAGCAAAAAGCAATAAAAGAAAATCGTCGATTGGGAACAACTTCAGCAGGTCCACAATCGCAAATTTTGGACGGAGTTACATATGAAGAGATTGCGCAAATACGGGCGGTATGTTTTTCATAACTTTTAAAATTATTTTAAAACCTATCATTTTGCAAAAATCCAATCTATGTGAAATTACCATTTCAATTTTTCGGATATCGTGATTAATTCTTATTAGATAGTTGTACATGATTTTTTTTAAGTGTTTTGAGGCAATTTGTACTAAGTAGATTGTCTTATAATTTAGGATGCAGAAACCAGTGATATGGGTCAGGCGGATCGCGTAGTTATGATCGGTACTGCTAGCAAAGGTATAATTGATCGGCAACATCAACACAATGCTCAAGTATATTTTTTAAATCCAAAATTTGAGACTTATTGCAGCTGACGATAGTAAGACTAGGTAAAATTATATTTTAGAAACTGTAAGTTTATCAGATGTATGTCCGACGGTCAATGTGAATCCGATTTATCTGCATGCATTCATTCTTTTTTAACGGATTCATAGTACTGAAATGATCCTGAAAACTTACTTTAACTTTCGTGGAATTTGAACTCTTCATTTATTATTTTTGCAGGTTTATCGGCAGCTTTACGCACCGAATCCATTCGCAAGTGAAACGGATGAAGATATTCAAAAGTATATGAAGGAAGTTGAGGCAAAAACTCCAAGACCAAGTTCTGCTGCCGATAGTACTGAACATACGACATCAAGCCCACCTTTATATGAAAACGATAGTCCTTCCGTCGGTAGGGTTTATTTTTTATGTTTGTATTTGATATATATGTTATCTATTTCAATTTGGCATGGATCAAAAAAAAAAAAAAAAACTTGCTGTTTATTACCTAACAAACGTTATGATTAGATATATGATCTAATTTTGGTTAGACATTCAACTGTGATATTATCTACATTATTTCATTTTAACAAGTTAATCTTTTTACTCCTTGTTATTTTTAATCAAATATCGAGTCCAGTGATTTTCGTCTTAATAATCTGCTCTTCCAGAAACAATATCCTTGATGCAAGCAGCTCGAGAACACCGTACACGTCCCACATTTAGTGGTATGGCTTCCGCTTCGATTGATGAGGAGGGAGCTCCTACTGAAATATCTGTTGGTACTCATTCGTCACCCGTTGCGCAGCCTTCTACTGGTAGAGGTTAATCTTTATTATGAGAATTGAGTCATGCATGTTTTATACATTGTGCTTTGGACGCATGACTGCATACTGTGTGCTTTTTTCTGAGAACAGTGCAGTGAAGATCATATCTTTTCATATAAATTTTACTTTAGTAATGATATATCTTTTTTGCTATTTGTACTAGAGCATTATTGAATGATACAGAAATGGGCGGAAGTCTTGTGATGGCTTCAAATTAATTGAAGTTATTAAATATTCTACATGATATTAGCCGGGTTACGTGTAATTTGCTATGGAGCTATTCGTTATGGAAAATTACAGATTTTGAAATTTTAGTGTCTTTTAGGGCGATAAATAGGTATACATTTTTGTATACCTTTACTATTTTTTGGAAATATTTGCCTCTTTACTAATACAGAAAGCACGATTTGGTAATTTTTAATGAGGTTGCAGTTGGTCGCCTTACGTTGGAAACTACTTTCGATGAGTCTGATTTACCACAGAGTCGTTTTGTACGCAGTTCGCCTTTTGTATCTTCAACGCTACCTTATCGTCAGTGCTTGTTTCTTGCTTTTTTTTTTTCCAGCATTTTTTGTGGTTTTTAAAAGTGTGGATAACGATAATCAAGAGTAGTGATGAGGAGTATTGGGTAACTATCATGTTCGGGAAGCTTTCATCATTTTTGAATATAAATTCCCTCATACTTAGCATAGTGATTTCAAAAATAAGTCAATATAATATTATGATTAATATACCAAATATGCCGTTTTGCGGATATCTTTTTTGTTTAAGTGATTTTTGAGGACACAGTTGAACATCTATATGTTGTTGCATGAATATACACTTTGCATGATTTTCCTTTCCTCATGACTAGCGGAAATGCGGATTCGAAAGATGTAACGGTGTTAGAATTTTGATTTGACAGATTTTGAGACAAAGAGATAAGTGGAATGACAAATTCCAAAGTGTTGTAATTTCCATCAAGATTCACCAAAATTGAAGAGGAGCATGCAAAAGGAAGTTGTTCGATCTAAACTATGTCTAAATATGAAAGGATTGAAGATCTGGGAACCGGTCTTAATCCTACGCTGCCTGTAGATATTATTTGTTTTGTGAACGCATGGTTGTTTGTTTGTTTTTATTTTGGGTCGCTCGTCGCACGGTTATTCGCCTGATGGTGAAGCTATTCAGTTGGAGAGGCCAAAGACGTTACCATCAGGAGCAAAGTTCGCACGTAGTAAATCGGATCGTTTTGCTTCATTGCGTAAAAATTTGTTTTCTAAAAGTATGTTTTTTCCTCCGATTCTTTTCTTTTTCCTTTCCGGATGATCTACAGCATTGCACTCAAATGTATAACTTGTATGCAAACTAAGTACTATTATTCTATATCTAGTTGGTCGTTTTGTACACTTCCGACATATATATATATATATATATATATATTTGCATGTCCTTTCTGAATTTTACATCACCTTTATTTTACTTGTGACCCTAAATGTGAATGATATTCCTTGAATTTTGAAATTACATGGGTATGCGTTATATAATCTACATATCACTGCAGCATAAAGCTGCTAATCAGCAAATATTGTTGGACTTTCAGGAAATGATACTGCAGTACGGAATTCAGAAATGGCACTGTCTGATGACGAGGTGAGGTGTTGTATTTTGAAAATTAAATAAATCGCATCATATTATGAATGCGGGACACTCAATGCTTATGAGAACAAATGTAGCACATTTTTCAGAAGCTATTAATTTCATCATTTATGGTAATTAGCAAAATTTAGACCTCAAGCATACACTATATGATGTATAAATTAATTTTAACAACATTATGTATCAAGTAAACAATAAGGTATCATGATATATTAAGTCATTTTGCAGCTGAATCAATCGAAAGAGAGTAAAAAGAAGAAAAGGGGTTTATTCTCGTTCGGGAGGAAAAAGAAGTGAATTTTTAAAAAATGCTCTTGGATCTGCATTTCGTCTTTTACACTGGTATTGTTAATGCTCACTGCTTTATCACCTTTTATTCAATTTATGGGAGATTTAGTGGTGTTGGTTTCATTCTTCTCTTTTGCATATAAGCACATCCATTTGTTCGAAGCATCTTAAATATTGTTATCTGTTTCTTTCTCACTATCTTTTTCTTATTAATATTCCGCAGAACGGTATATGTTTTTAGAAAATTTATACTTAAAATTTTAAGTCTCATTTTGGGCTACTGCATCACTACCACACGTAATTAATGTTGCTGATAGTGAAGCTGAAAAAAGCACATAAATTGAAACTTTAAATAACAATCCTAGGTTTTGATATTGACTATATTGCAGGTTCTTTATTTGTTGTCTTTAAAAAAAAAAAAAAACATAATACAGTTTTATTTTCCAAATATCATATAATATTATATGGGAATGTTCGTTTTGCATTTTAGGCATATATCGTAGTGGTCATTGGTCTACAACTGTATGACTGTTCTTGGGAAATAAGTGGTCGTTTTTCTGGTTCAATTGCGGAATGCGTCTCCATGTTTACGTTTAAAAGAGACTTTTAAAAAATCTCTTTTACATGTTTGCGGATAGGCAATCAGTATATAATGTTGATATCATTTCTGATAAATCTAACTTATTCTGTTCGCAACCAAAGTTTCAAATGCTCTACTATGGAAGCATTGCGGAAGTTGCTTGTGTTTTGACTGATTGTCTGTTCATTGTCCCTTCTATTATCATCTCACCGCTTATTATTCAAAAAGATTAATTCTTCTTCTTTGCATAGTTTCTGTTCTTTTTTTTTTTCTTCTTAAGGCATTTACCCGTGTTTTATTGCTGCTTGGGAATGAATGCTTCTTGACCTGTGTCCAGGATTCCACTTTACTTGCAAAGGGTTTTTTTTTTTTTTTTCTGCTGTAATTGTCTTGTCATTTGGGTTCATTTGGTTTTCTGTTAGCTTTTTTTCTTTTGTTCAAATTTTCGGGATAATTTTTTCTGGACACCTAGAATTTGCCATCTTGTTTTAGTCAGAAAATATTGTATGAACACAGTTAAGTTTGTGTAATTGATATTTGTTTCAACTGTTTATTAGCTTTATAATGGATTAGTTGCGATTTGTCGGTCCATCATTCTTATCTAAATTCGTATCCACATGCTGGAAGAAAAAAATAATCTCATCTAATCGACATGGTACAAAAAAAATTTTGGAGAAATAGAGAAATCTGAAATGAGCCATATTTTCCATTTGCGATCATTCCAGTATACATCGTTTTCGTTTCAGACCGGTGGATTTGTCTGTTTCTATTTTTACGCTGTCTCGGTGAAATTTGGATTTTAGTACTGTGCTAATTTTCAAACAGGAAGCGCTTCTGGAATATCAGTTTACTTTTCTTCTTTCTATTGCCAAGTTTTATCATCATGCTATTTGTTTCATCCTTTTATCATGTCATTAAATGCTTAATAGAGAAATTCATGTGTCGGCCATCTTCACATCGCTGTTATCTCTGTTTTACCCATAAATATTTTTCAGTTTTTCTTTGTTCATTGTTTTCTAAATATTTATGAATGTTTGCTTACTTCTTTCCCGGATTTTGAAGCAGTTTGAATTTTTCCTGTAGAATCCTTTTCTATCCTGTTTCTCATTTAGCAAAAAGCCACATCACTATACGGGTTTTTAACATAGCTCCCAATTTTTAGGATTTCGATTTGGTATGCGAAAATTGGAGTCACATTTTTAGATATGATTTCTTTTGTCTGGCTTTTCATCTTTAGATCCTGCTTTTTCATTCCTTAAACATTATCGTAAAATGTTGAAAAGCTGGCTTTGTAATGACTGTTTTAGTTAAAACTGCCGGTGATTATTGTTCTTTTAATATAGCTGAAATTTACTCCCATATATCAGAAATTTAAATGTACGAGAGTGCTAAAATATCTTTGAAATATGGGAGTAATAGCGTACCTTTTACGGTTTAATTTTGCAGAACCTATATGTGGTACTTTTAAGAAATTGTTTGATTTGTTAAATTAATTGAATGATAGGCAAGAATTTCATTGTGATAGTTTTACTGTCTGTTTCTTCATCCATCTGTTTAATATCAGTTTTCGAATTGGAGAAATGAAGATTTATAAGGGGATGTTTACAAAAAAGAAAATTTCCTTCTTCTGTTTCTTTCAATATTCGTTGATGATGCTTAATTAATTGGAAACATAAATCACGCATGTTATGTTTCATTCAGTATAAGATTTCTGCCGAAGAAAAACTGAAGGAAAAAAATATAAATTTTGATAGGATAAATAAGTAGGAAGCTGCATTCATTGCTGTCATTTTTTCTTAATTTCTATCGCAAAATTGTTTAACTGTTCTGGCTTATTAAAGATGATTAGTTGTTTGTAGAAATGGTGTACTCAGAAAAGGTTAAAGTTCGTTACATCGAAAGCATTTGTTTGTGCTCTATTATCAAATGGGCAATAGAACACTGGGATATATTCTAGAATTTTTGTTTCAAAATATATGAGTTGTGATTGATTAATTACATTATGCAAATTAAATGGTAGCGTTCCAGGTGTGAGAAAAAAAAGCCTTGTTTATTGCTGACAATTTATTTAATTTAAAAAATACATGTTAAATGCGTACAGTACGATGAGGCAAATATGAAAATATACGCAATAATTTAGGAGTGTTCGGCTGTTAAGCGTGAAATAAATGAGCAGCAGCAATATACCTTTAGAGGGTCGTACACGTTTACCTGGTAAAATACAAGATTGCATCCAAGATTGCGGTCTGATTATTTCTCATGTAAAGACTGCATCTCATTCAAATGAGGCTTGTATTTTTTGTCATATTCATAAAAATGTCATAACATCTTTTCATCTATAAAACAGTTCGAATTTATCCAACTTAATAAGTGAAATGAAATAAGAGTTTTAATAGAGATATCTATAATTAACAAATCCATTTATTTCTTTCGAAATTTCATGAATACTTGTAGTTTTTAATTTCATACTCTATATTTTTGCTCCTTTAATTATGAACTGTTTGGTGAAAAATCGGAAGACAATTGACTGAATGATAGATAGATGAAATTTCTAGCTTCGTAGAGGAGTTTGTAACAATTGTTTTTCAGCTTCTTTCAATGGCTATCAAGAATTTTGCCTCGTTAGATTCAACAATTGAGCAATCATCCAAGGTAAATAATAGAACTCGAATTTTCGAGCAATTTTAAGTTTCATACTTGCTATTTGATACTTTGCATATTGTTACGATAAGGTTTTTACTTTTTTTTTCTTTAGTATTCATAAGAGTAAATAGAGATATCATTTTACTCAAGCCAAGCATTGTTGTGAAGTGAATTTTATGTTAATCAAATAACTAAGAGCTGACAGTTACGAAAAGTGTGGGACTTTAGAAATGAACGATTTCTTCGGATATACTTTTTAGAATTTGCGGAAATTGGATGCCTTATTGAATACAGCAGATGTTCCGTAAGTTCTTTTGTTTCGATTTTGACATCATTCATTACTTCGATATTTCTGTTTGAGAGACGAATTGGTCTTTTGAACTCTCCCTTATGTGGCAATAGATTGTTGTTTTACGTATTTTTTAGTTTACAAAAGAAGAAAGGAATTCATAATGTCAACTATTTAAATTATTGGTCTTAATCTATCGGTTAGCTTTTTTTTAAAAAAAAGAAACCTTATTTTACGCTTTCCATCATAATGATATCTATTTCAGGTATATGCCAGTAGATGATAGTAAATGAATTTATGGCAGTGCAAAATAATGAATTATTTGAATTAGTCGCCAATATTGATCTTTTTTTTTTTCTATAAATCAGCTAAAAATCCTATGCAAATGGATGAAATTACCTTTGAGCTATATTATTTTTGAACAGTGAAGAAATGTGTTCCTTTCTTCGATTGTACTCCACTATTGCAGTTAATTATGAGTTGTACAATAAACATTTTGATGATAAAAAAGATTTGATAAGATTTTCAATGTATTTATGTTTGATAATTCTTTTTTTTTTCGATATCGAAATAAATAAATTGGGACTGATTTTAGTTAAGCATCAAAAACTATCAAATTACTAAAGTAATGTTTGAAATTTTCATTTCTGTTGTTATCCCAGATTCGTAGCAGGACATTTCTCATCATACATCAAATCTTGATGTTGGTAGTTAAAAGAGCACAAGCAATGCAAGCAATTTTCTGAAGTTAATCTGATTCAAATAAATAGCAAATGAAACAATTCGTCGACTAATGCATGTATGAAACATTAATTTAAAACGAATCGAATTTTCATATCCTGTATTCAATTGGCTATCTGTGACTTTTCATAGAAAATGATTAATGATTTTTTGCCAAAAATGACAGATCACAGTTTAACAAAAGATTAATTGTTCGGACTAGTTGCTTGTTTCATTTTTAGTCTGAAAAAAGCTTATGCTGAAGTTTTAAGCTTAAAATTTAAAGGATTATCAATAGTAATTTCTGAATTGGATTGCATTAGTTTTTCATAGTTTTTCATGAAAATTTCTTATAAAGTTAAGCGAATCAATGAAATTGATTTCTAAATTTTTCTAAATTTTTTTGAGGATTCTGAATTACCTGTCCTTGTGAAACTTTCTAATTAGCTTTTTCTTTTTCTTAGATATATGATAATTTTCAAATCCGTTCCAATTATCAAAACTTTCAAGTTTTATTTGACTTTTACAATTTATTTTATATTACAACACAGATGTACAAATCAGTGCCTTTTTTCTAAATCATATAATATGTTCATTACTGCAAAAAAAGTAAAATAGCCGAGCAGTTTTTCTTCTTTGTGGTATTTATTTATCACTTATAATTAGTAGTTAATGTTATTCAATACATATTGATTTAGGTTTATGCATGAGTAATATTTTAGGAAATTTTGATTAATTAGGAGAAAAAAAAAAACTAGGTGAAATTGCTAGCTATTATTAAAGCAATAGCAAAAACAAATAACTGTTTATAGATTGTCAGATTGAATTTGGCATAAGAGAAAATTAGTAAACTGTAAAAATTCCATTAAGAATTTAGAAACCCAAAATGCATTTGCATATTTTACATATTTTATTACTGTCGTATGTGAAAGAAAAATAATATTACACAAAAAAAGAAACGTTAGATGCGAAATATATACATATCATCGATTTAAATTATTAAGAAATATGAAATTACATTAAAAATAATCCAATAACTTATTAAATACAGTATTAGTGCATCCATAATTTAATCAAAATATGAGTAAACTAGAAGGCAATAGTATGAATATTTAAAGGTTTTCATGATTCAATATGAGCAAAATTCAAATGATATTTCTTACAAAGTAATAAAAAAAAAAAAAAAAAAAAGGAATGCGTTTTATCAATATGTACATATGCATATTAAATTAAACATTTAATATCACAGTCTAATTGTTAAGCCTTAATGAACTGATATAAACTTTTCTAATCAATTCCTGTGATATTATAATTACTTCGATAACTTAACTTATCATCCATATATAAGCAATTATCATTATATGCTTTATAATCACTATCCCATTTGCAGATTTCATTGTACAATTGATTTGGAGTTGTTCGTTTTCGACGATCAATTTCCAATTGAGAATTTATCATCTTAGCAATATTTTCATCAACATCGAAGGATAATTCTGGTTTATCATATGCATCATAGTTATCACAAGCTACGAAGAGGAACATACGACATAATTCTTGTTCATTAAATGGAATCTGTTAAAAATTTAATTTAGATGGAATAAATAAGTTTAGAAAATAAATGCTTTCATTATTAATACGACTACTTCAAACATTGTTTTCTCTTTCTCTCGGAAATTTATTTATTTATTTTTATTTATAATTTCAAAATTTTTAAAATTCTTGAATAAAGAAAGAAAGAATCAAAAAAAAAAAAAAAATACTAATTTAATTATTTATTAATGTATAAATCAATAATGATACTAAATGATACCTTCCCCATGATACATTGATACAGGACACATCCAAGACTCCATATGTCAACTTCATGACCATACTCATGTGTTCGTAAGATATTTGCACCTACTTCAGGTGCCATATAATACAATGTACCAGCAACATTTGATAATGATTTATCCTCTGCATCATTAAGAATTCGAGATATGCCAAAATCGGAAATTTTAGCTCTTTCAATTAGATTCTGCTCCCTATATTTGATTAAGATATTTTGCGGTTTAATGTCACGATGTACGATGCAACAATTATAAAGTTCATTGTATCCTCGAATCACATTGTCGATTAATCGTCTAAAATTAATAATATAAAATATGTTAAAGTTTAAAATTTTGAAATAAAATTAAATTTTTAACAAATTATTTGATCTAATTTATTAAAAAAAAAAGAAAAATTATCAAAAATTTACAAATTTTGGAAGAGAAAAAAGAAAAAATAGAATTAAATTTTACTTTAAATTATGTGAAGATAATGTACCATCAGCAGTATGATATTTAAGATGACAATCAAGATCAATATCACATAATTCCATAATAATATACATGCTGCTATCTTCATCGCTTTTTATACAGTTATCAGTGAAGCCAACCAGATAATCACTTTTTATTGCTCTCATTACTTTTAATTCATCCAGTTTTATGCTTCCTTTAGACAACTTTTTAATTGCTACCGGTTTACCAGTGCTACTTTCTATACCTCGATAAACGAAGCCAAATGAACCATTTCCGATGCATGATGCAATACAGTCGCTGAAATTAAAATATCTTTTTAAATTTATGAGAAATCAAATAAATTTAAAAAAAAAAACTAACTCTTTTCTTGCACAAAAAAAAAAAAAAAATCCCTATTTAAGATAGATTCAATTTGTTCAAAGAAAAGAAAGAGAAGAGAATTTACTTATATTGAAATGTATTACAGGTAGATGAAATAGTTATCGTATTAAGGGTAAACTGTTGAAGTAGATGCTTATCGATATCAGAATTTTTTAATTGGATACTATACCAATTCATCGCCGTATTATACATTAATTTTTTTACATCATCCATCACAGATAGATTGTTTTCTATATTTGCTATCAAAAGTTCAATAATTTTTCACTGCAAATGCAAATCAATGAATATATTAAACACATATTAATAAGAACTGATTTATAAATTTAATATTTCAAAAAAATCAAGAATTTATTAACAGTTAGTATGGAAATCATACGAACAGAGTAGTAAAAATCTTCGCTAAATTTTTTTTTTTTTATTTAATTTCATTTAATCAGCAACTAATGATGATAGTTGAAAGATAATGGAAAAAAAAAATTATTTTGAATTCTTTAGAAGTTATTAATTGTTATAATTTTTAGTTCTAACTGTGAAATGGAAATTATTGATAGAGTGATGTTGATTTTTGAGAATTCTGGAAATCACATTGAAAAAAAAAAAAGAGGTTAATATTAAATAAAAATTATTGAAATAGCATTTCTTTAAAAGAATATTTGATGAATTAAGCAAACAACAAGATATAAACCAAAAAAATACCTTCTAGAAGAGCTATCTTTATGATATTAACTCATTTTTAATCATTGTTAATATCACTAAATCATTTAATTATTTTAAATATTGAAATGTTATAAAATCGGTGAAGTGAAGTAATGCATGCATATCTATATATTGCTTTCAGCTTTAATTTTCTTAAATTCTAAAATTTCAATTATTTTGTTAAAAAAAATAAGCAAAAATAAGGCGCATAAGTAATTATTTCTGTTTCTATCTTTTATTCAAAATTCTGAATATAAAATCTTTTATTCTAAATAAAAATGAAAAATAAATAAGAAAGAAAAAAGCACAATTGTATTATTGGCAATGATATCACAATCAGCAAAAATAATCAAAATTTATAAATGATGAAAACAGTTATATTCAAATGATTCAAAAAAAAAAAAAAAAAAAAAGGAGTAAAAAGCACTCATGTAAGCAAAACTTTTAGAATGAAATTTAAATATATCATTTGATTAATGTGCAAAAAAGAAAAAATAAAAACGAAGTGTAGACAATGAGATTAATGATAAACAGATTAGCTCCAAAATGTATACAATTTACTAAAATCACTTTTTTCAAACCAAACAAAAAAAAAAAAAGGAAAAGTTAAATAGTTCAGTTTAAAAAATTTCATACTTAAACAGCGAAAAATTTCAAATTTCATTGTAGACAAATGAGTTCGTTTTTTTTTTTCTTTTTTAAAATGTATTCCAGATGTTCGAAGAATTTTAACATTTTATGCATATTTTTTTCTTCGTTTTGCCTCTTTTTTTCCGCCTCAAAATTTTTAATGAGAATTTAGAAAAAATAACATTAATATTTTATTCATAACTGATGTCTTCATTAATAACACTTATAAAATATTCACTGAAATCCTGCATTAAACTTAGTGCAAGTAAATTAAATTGCATTGGATACTTATTTACTTCTTTAAGTAAAAATATAAATGAATAAACAATTATTGTTTGAAAATTCTAATTGTCAAAAATTTTTTATGAGCCATATGTGAAGCGGAAAAGATGATCCAAACAAAGCTTAAAGAGAAGAATGGAGAAAAAAAATTGAAAAGTAAAAAGAAAGTGATGATTTGATGTAATAGATTGAATCGCCACCTTGCATTTTCAACTTCATCATAAGGCCGAAATAATGATTTCGTTCTTTTCTTTTTTCAAAATTTATTTTTCTTCCTTTAAAAATTTGTACTTTGTCTTTCT